ATACAGCAATACACGAAGCTACCTCTTCAAGCTCTGCTTTCCTCAATTATGAACGTCACCCTAAGCCGCCCCATTTGACTTGAAGAAAGGAACAGCGCGCCGCTGAGGAGCAACTCGAGTCAGCGGCTAAAGAAGGGTGGAGAGTTCGCATAAAAAATCTTGACAACTATCGGGGAATAGCTTTCGCTGCAAACTTGACAAAGAAATATGCTGGCCTCTTTATCGTGAAAAACCGTATAGGCATGAATTCATATTATCTCGTAACCAAAAACAGGACTGACGTTAGCAAAGTTGCTGTCGTTGACTTAAAACCGTGACATGATGAAAAACAAATTTTTGACGATGGAAACGAAAACGAAGAAGATTCGCTGAAAAATGAGACGGATACTCAATCAGATAATGAAAGGTCATAAACATTGATAAACGACACGCTCGTGCCTTCACAAGAAAGTGACGAGTACAGCCCGAGCACGTCGAGCACGAAGGCTGCCAAAGACTTGAAAGAAATGAAGAGTACTGCGATGACCCCACTACAACCGACCGACCCGAAAAAACGACGCCGGCCGCCGAGCTTAAAGATACCCACTCCAATTACAGTAGTAGTCTCACCTCGGCGCTTGCGCTCACGGAAAATCCAGAACAACTGAGTTTATCTTTTCTTTTTCTTCCAAGCATGATTACAAAAAAAAATTTTGTTTTTTACAAATGTTTTTTTACAACGACCTTTCACTACAATCTTCGCCTTCGCTAATATTTATTTTTTCCTCTTCTGCTTCACCAATTTATGCTTGATTATTATTTTTTTTGCCGCTTTGCTGCTTTCGACGCTTGATGATTTCCTAGATTTTATTATTTAAAATCTTGTGGCTTAGTTTAAAAATACCTTCGATTCTCCTGTTGGATCATGGATCTGCCTACGAAGATATAAATCTGGCTACAAGGGCTTTTAGCTCATGTAGCGCAAGTCTTCCCAATGACTGCCACGGAGGTAGTACACGTTACTTAGCTGGCATACCAGCTGATGGTACAAGTGAATGCCCGTTCCTTGACGCCAGAAGACTGTTTCCAAAGGGGAGCAGTTGTGATTTCGCCATCAACTGCTGAATTTACAAGCTTACCCGTCTGTGAAACTCAGGCTGCGTCGAGCGCTAGGCCAGCTGACGATGCGACCTTAAAGGAGAGCCTGCGGAAGGAAGTGGCCCGTTAGAAAGATCTTTACGAGACCTACCTACTTACTTCCCCAGACATTACCAATACTGGAGATGAGAAAGGAGAGAGTACCACGCGCTCCTAGACGAAGAGAACATCACCCGACGTTAGCGACATGGAAAGCAAGGATGAGTAAGCAGTGGCGGCCTACCGCAAATTGCAACAGCAGGAGGCCAACGCTATTCATGCTATCGCTCTCGAGCAAGCCTGTAAGGATTATGCTCGCGAAAGACAACAGCAGCAGGACGCGTCGAACACTGCTGCAGCAGTAGCAGTAGCAGATAAAGCGACCAACGCAGCTCTAAGAGCTCCTACCAACTACCAAGGCATTCCCATCTCTATCTTGGAAGAATGGGATCGTCTTTACGGTCAGGCGGCGGAGAGCCGCACTGGGTGCATCAATGCCAGCATAGCCCAAGATGAGGCCTATGCTGCCATCAAAGTCTTTGTGGAGCAACAGGGAGGAAGAGCCTGGACAGTCGGAGGTCGTAGGTTGGAAATGGTAAAGGAGAAATACAAGCTGAAAGCTTACCTCCGAAGCCAGATAGCTCTATGGAAGCAGCAACGTATAGAGTAGAAGGAGGCAGAAGAACTTCAGCAGGCTAAGTAAGCTAAGAGAAGAGAGCTGAACACCATCAAAGACCAGCTTGCAGCCCTGGACGGCATTAAGGTAATAGGTGCCAAGCAGAGCAGACGTATTCCCGTGACCGAAATTCGACAAGACTTTTGTTGCATTCCTTCACCTTGATCTCGACAAATCCCTTCTTTTTTTGCGTTCGCGCATACGGTCGTGCAGTGCAGTGATCCACCCTTGACTGGAGTTTTTCACGTACGCGTACTGTGTGAACTGTGTCCTAGCGAGTGCACGTGCGTGCAAGATTTATTACTGCACGCCTTTGTCTTCTACCTGCCTGTAGCGACGGATATGCGACCCCAGCGAATAGACTAAAGTCCCCAGTACTGAAAAATGTTATTACATTTTATAATGTATTGAATTGACACTACACACACGCACACACACATATACACACACATACCCACCCACACACACACACACACACATACACATAATACACACGTATGCAGACACACAATGAGATCTATTGCCCATCACATCTTCATCTTCGTATAATCTATACTCATACATACACATATATCTTCATCTTCGTATAATCTATACTCATACATACACATATACACAGCAATACATACATACGAATATGCGAGCACACACACATAATAGGATCAAATGTCCATTACAACCTCATCGTTTATTCTGGGATACGTTAAGAACAGGTACATTAACGCGACAATTGGATACATGAAAACCACAACCAAGAATTTAACTAAAAATTTGCAAAAACACCTGGAAAAGCGATACCATTTCTAAAAATGTACCTATTTACTGCCGATTTTAGTAGATGTACGAGAACTTCGACGTTTTTTCTCCGACATATTGAATCCACCATATAGAATTTGAAAATCTGAATTATAATTATATGCAGAGACACGAAATATGTATATACCATTTTTCACGAATATCGAAGAAACCTTTTGTTTTTCGGTTTACCATGTTAGTTCATCATATTAAATCTTTTATTTTTGAAATGGAACTACCGTACTTTGCTTTATAACGATAGCTTAAGATTTTATGCCATATTTGACACTTGGTTTTAAGTACTTTCTACAATTAAGAGTTATATACAGTTAATTTTTGTAGAGCAAAGAGAACTACAACATTATTGCGCTGTCATATTGAATCGGCCATATTGAATTTTGAAAATCTAACTTATTATTCAAATCCAAAAAACTCTTCTATATAAATTTTTGTAAATATGGATGAAACTTTTTATTTTTTAATCCGCCATATTAGTCCGCCAATTTAAAGTTTTAAGAAAAAATATTTTTTTCTTATATTTTTTCAAATTTGGACCTGATGCCAAAGTCTAAAAAAGCTTCCGGACCCTAACTATTCAGGGTTAATAGCACGATTATTTAGGTTAAACTCTGCTGAGCTAAATATTCTCTAATATCTAAATATCTATTGATTTTCTCTAAATCAACTATATTCTTTAAATCACAAGTTAGATCACTACCCGTTTGAATATCTTCTGAGATCGTAGGCTCATGATAAGTTCGGTGCTGGTTGTACACGGTTTGCACTGCTGAAAACGAGCGCAGAAATCATGAAGAAAAAAGATAGATGAGTTAAATCAAATTTTATTTCAGTTTAAATTAGTAGGATGTTAGCTAGAAGAATATAAAGCGTAACTTGAAATAAAATAAAAAATGTTAATTTGTATTTTTTCGGAGACACATAACAATTATTTTGTGAAGAAATATAGACGTACGCAAACATTAGTAAACAAGCGTACTAGTTTATCATGACGAGTGAGAAGGATAGAAGACAAATGACGCGAATAAAGAACTAGGATGAGATACGACACACATAATACAAAAAAAGGAAATAATCGCGAGAAAAAGAACTTGGTGTCCTAAATTGTTGCTGCAGACAAAACTTTGTTGTTGGGCGATCAACTCGTTGGAGCTGCTGGTGTTATTGGGTGACTTGTTCTTTAGAGTGTGGAAAGAACAAGTCACCTATTCGTTGCGTCGGGAGAGCGACAGCACGGACGATGAGGCTCATGTTGACTTTGATCATCTAGCTCTCAACGGACGCATGATCTATCGGTTGGATATCTGGCATCTTTTCAGACACCACCACGCACTAATTACAAATATACCGCAATGAGGAGAAGGATCGGTAGAGAATGGTATAGTAACGAGCAAATATCTTCTGGTTACCAATTGCCGGTCGAAGCAATACTAACTATTTCGCCTAGTCGCGTTCCATTCTCCCTTTTTCATGGCGCTTGCGCAGTTCTTCTCAGTAGGCTCCTGAATTTTCGGCCACTTTCTCTCTCATATTCGCGTTTACAGTTCTTGGTCGCGGTCACTCCTTATTATACATGCGTATCTTTACGAATATTTATTCGTTACACGCTATGTATTAAATCGTATTTATTATTCGCAAGTCGCTAATTCAAATATAAAATTATAAACTAAATATCATTTAATTGTATTGTTAAGGTATTTATTCTTATGAAATAAAGAGAGAGTCTTGTAAAGAAGTATAGTAGGATTCCAAAAGTTAAATTATAACAGCTCGTCTTAATAATAAGTATCAAAATTATTTGATCTTACGAACTTACCCAAATGAATTCACCTCAAACTCTGACAAAATCAAATCATTATCACTCATTAGCTCGCTATGATTCGCGAAATTCAAAATAAGATTTTAAAAATTAGTTGATGTTTCGTCCTTGCTGTTGGATTTTACTTCTCATTGTTAGTAAGGATCTAACAGCTTTCCTTAGCTAGCTGCTAGATTTTGAGTAGCTAAGTATATAAAAGATAAAGTTAGCCCTTTACCAGCAATTTTTTTCATCAAATGTCAAGTACAAAAGCTAAATTATGACAGTTCGTCTTAAATATAAGTATTAAAATAATTCGGTGAAAAAATTTGTCAGTAGAGGACTCGTTTTATCTCTAGAAGAAATGAGCGTGGGCCTCTTAAATACTTGGATACGTAATGTCGAGCAGACAGAAATCCATCGAAGATAAATAGTATTTCTCTAGTATAGTCCTTGAAGGCATATTCTTTGAACCTTAAATTATCCGAAAATATGAGGTATATAACATAAAAATCTAATGTAAATTCTTATCAATAATTTATATTACATTAAAATAAATTAATAATAGAATGAACTCATGAGATTTATTATTCACAGGCTAGCAATGAGAATAATAAAAAGACGTTGAAAACATCACTTCCGATAAACAATCCCACAGATGAATCAATTTTAAAGACAAGTAACTTATATGAAATTCAAAATTCAGTGACATACACATGGAGCAATATAAATGTAAATTGCTTCGTTCAAGAAAGAAGATTCTGGAATAGATTTACTAATGAAAATAATCCAAAAAATATGAAACGCCAAATTTTACAAAACGGTATAATTTAAATATTATTTTTAAAAGTATTTATAAATACTTATCTGAAATAATATTGCACGATAAAGAATAATACTACAATCACTTTAGTAGTATAACTTGACATATTCTATATGAACTCTGTAATTCATTGGAATTTCTTTTGGTTCCCGTTCTATATTCATTCATTTTATTTTTACAAAAATTGCCTTTTCATAAAAATATAATAGTTGAGTATAGGCGAGGAGTCCTTTAGATGTTACTATGACTTCAATAACTACGTCCAGTTCCCCCATTATTTTTTAAAAATGCGCAGTAGCAGAAAGTTTTGCATGCATCATGACTGAACCTACAGTTTAAGGTGGAATCTAAACCACCGGAATCATGGTAACAACGGAATATATAAATATTTCATTTGTGATCATGTGCCCGCCGGTCAAACCTAAGATTTCTTGTACAGATGACTAATCTTACCCACAGAGCCATCGTGACTCCTAATCTAATTTATAATTATTTTTCTCTAAATTTTGTATTAAAGTTCTTCTAGTCCAAACAGGACTTTCTTCACTAGACGTGGTAGCCTTCTGAAGTTGTTCAGTCTGTATTATGCAGTTATAACAACAAAAGAAAAATATACGAGGGTCGTTTAATAAGTCCGTGACTTATCGGAAGGTGATGGTGTTATCGTAACATATTTTATACTATAAGAGATTCTCATCTAGTATACCAGTAAGTTGTATAAGTATAATTATAAGTCAGTACGTTGGTTAGGAAATTTTTTACAGTTATTTTAATTTAGTTTTTCATTATGTAAACAAAATCATGAAAAAAATGAGTTTCGTGCGTTTATTAAACATTATTTTCTACGAGGAAAATCAATCAAAGAAACTGAACAAAAGCTGAAGAAATATTATGGAGACGAGGTTCTTGTCTCTGAATTTCGTTATGGTTATGACCGTGAGAGCACCAGCAACGCTGACAATGAGATCTCTGATCTTTTAAAAGAGGTGACTACTGAAGACATGGTCGTTAAAGTTAATAATATTATACTCGTCGATCGTTGATAAGCTAATAAGTTTGAGCATGTTTCAACGTAATTCAAAGAAGTTTTTACAACGCTACGTTACTGTTCATGAAATATGAATTCATTATTATACGTCAGAAATGAAAAATCAATCGAAAATGTGGACTGGACGAGATGAATCTACATCGAAAGAGTGAAGACGGTACGATCAGCTGGAAAAGTGATGGCTACAATTTCTTAAGACTCAAGTGGTATAATACTAATCGATTACCTATAGAGTGGAGGAATTATTACAGGAAAATATAACGCCTCATTATTAGACCAATTTGATGTCATATTGAAGGAAAAGCATTCCTATCTAGTGAAAAAAAAGTTCTTGTCTACTACGATAATTCATCAGCTCACACGACTTCCATTGCAACGGCCAAATTATTTAATTTACGCTACAAAATACTTCCTCATCTATCTTATTCCCCAGATTTAGCATCTTTAGATTATTTTCTGTTTCCTGACATGAAAATTTGGCTTGCGGGTAAAAGATTTTCATGCAACGAAGACGTCATTGCTGCGACAAATGAGCATTTTGAGAAGATTGATGCAAGTTACTTTTTAGAGGGCATAAAAAAGCTTGAAAACCACTATAATAAAAGTATAGATTTAAAAAAGGGACTATGTTGCATAATAAATTTGTATTTTTTAAATAAATAGTGTTTCTTTTATTTAAAGTCATGGATTTATTGAACGACCCTCGTATAAGTATTATGTATATGTATGCACGAGCGCATGTATATTTGTGTATAAATGTGCACAAACGAGCGCGCATGTATCTATGCAAAAAATGATACTATATACGTTGATAAGTTTATAATCGGAAACAATATTTTTTATTTTCTTGATGCAAAAAACTTTTGTTACATATGAATGTATCCGGAGAATTCAATTATATAGATAAGCAGAACCAACTTTTGTATATTACGACCCAAACTAGAGGGAACACTAAGGTATTGCCAAACGACCGCTTATGTGAGAGATGTCAATGTCATAAGTGAAGATTTAAAACTTTCTTACAGAAGAATGTGTAACTATGCAAATTTGTTGCTCTCATATAGTCCTGAAAAGGCATATGTATATCTGCATATCGGAACTGCTTTTTGCGAAAAGTAATGAAAAAGCATAGTAGCGCGCCTAATGCACACTTTTTTTAGCATAAAGTCGCGAAAGTGAAAGAGAGGAGAAATGTTTTCCTCTATCTTTCTCTGTTCCTTATTTCCACCGTTTTTCACTGCATCTTACTGTTTATCTGCACTTGGCTCCTACTCATTCACTTTCCTTAATACTTAAACTGACTCTATTGTTTCGTCTTTACGAGAATCGTAGCGTAAAAGGGAAGATGATTTCTCGTAGTTGATTTGACAGAGTAGAGATTTAAGTAATTAGTAGTAATGATATTATAAGAATATATTACTATATAAAAATTAAGTTAGTACTCAAAGCTAGGGGCAAATCCATAAAACTTGTAGATTTGGTACTAAAAATAAAGTAAAATATTTTTTGTGAGCGCATTGTTCACATTTAGTATACGTATTCGTTAACTAAAAACAAAAGAAAAACTGTATCTATGATCAATTTTTACTTGACGGTACGTGTGTGAGGAGGGTTCATTAAAAAAAGTAAAAAAAATTGTAATTTCAACATTAATACAAATTTTATTCACAATTTAATTACTATTTACAAACAAATTTTCATTCTAACGCTTTTGCAAATAATATCATAATAAGATAACTTACAACGAATAACAATGAACAATTATTAATTTTATAATATTCATATATACTTGATCTTCATTTTACATCTTTCTTTTTGGTACCAATGAATTCTTTTTCAAGATAGTATTTATTATTTGTGCCACACGGATCACTTAATAAATTATTGTTAGTAACTTAACTTAAACTATTAGTATTAGTACAAAACTAGTAGTATTAGCATATTCCAGAATGCCATCGTTTGTATGTTTATTTTTGTTTTCTTTTTATTTACTTTCTGTTTAGTAGCTGTAACTGATTTAGTTGGAAACACAAAAAATTTATCTAGGTTCAAAACATAATGCTTACAAATGGATTCATTGATACATTAAGAGCAAGATAGATAATTCAAATAAAGGGTATTTGAGTAAAAATGTTTCCAAATTAGTAGATAGATTTTCATTAAATTTAATGCTGATTTTAAGTTCTTTAACAATTAATTATCAATATTATTAATATTAGATTCAACCAAATATGAACGCATTAATTTTTTCCGATAATTGTTTAATAGTATTGAATACATCTTGAGCAATAATGACATCTTTACCATATTGTACAATCCTATCACATAAACATTTCACCATACCTCCAGTTCGCAAACGTGAAGGTTTCCTTGCAACACTTATACCAGTTCTTCCAAGACTTAGTGCATTAGGATCATTAGCAAGTGATACAGCAGAGATAGCTTAGGTTATCTCTACTGCATCAAGCGAGTGTTGGTAAATGACAATCAAAAGGACTACAGCCATAATAAGCGTATTGAAGCTTTAGTTATTGTTAAAAGTTTATACTCTAAATCACTTCAATGAGGTTTCGATTTACTCGTTTACAAAATTGAAAAAATATAAAAACTAAACGTAATGAAAAGGAAGTTAAGAGATGACAAAAAACTTCGAAGTAAGACTAACTCATCATCCTTTAATAGATTACGTTATAAAATAGTATGTTAGTGAATTGCGAATTCCTCATTTTCGAAGAGTTTTTATGAGAAACTCTTTACTGAAACAAGGTCTACTAATTAAAGAGTGTGCTATGGTAAATTTTGATGAGAGTTCTGGATCTGGTACTCATTGGGTTGTATACCGAAAAAATGGTAAAAATATTTTTTATTTTGATAGTTTTGGTAGCTTAAGATTCCCGGTAGAATGAATAAAATATTTCGAAATTTATAACATCAAATATAATTATTGCAACGGTAGTCGATTCGATCAATCGATACGTTCGCGATTCGGTAGCACTCGTGATGCTAGAGGAACAAGACTTGTGAAGCTGACGCCCAAAAAATTAAAAAAAAAATATTTTTGAGTTTTCATGAACTAAAACGTTTTCTCCCTATTTCCGGATTAAGTCTCCGCTTGAAATTTTATTTCCGGATTTTCCATTTTAAAGAGAATTGCGAAAAAAAATCGGTCGTTCGGACAGCGCGTAATATGCATTGAACATTTTTTCCCTGTTTAATAAGAAATAATATCAATAGCGGATGATAGCTCCTTATTCCGGGATTACAAAACAATTTTCCTTTTGTTGATTTTCTATCCAAAATTGAGGAAAATATAGAGATTAGTAATATGCGGCAGTTAGTCGATAAAACAGGTCAAACATTTGCTAATCACCAGATATCCATACGAGTTCTACAGTGCGTAAGGCAGCATCTATTTTTATGTAATTTTATCTAATTGTGACAGGGTATAGCGATGTTCGCTAGCCCTGTATGCGGCACTCTCCTCGCGCGAGCGCAGCGACCAAGTGTACGTTATATAGCGACTACATACTTGTGTCGTTGCAGGATATGGAGAGAGGAGCGCGACGATCGGCGAGGTGTCACCGTGAGTGCGAGTGAGAGCGAGAAGAGCGAGAGAGAGAGAGAGTGATTTTGACTGATTTTTGACGGCGAGAGAAGTGGGAGCGCGGCGGCGCGAGGCTTAGAAAATTAAGAGAGAGGAAGGGCAGTTAGGCACGAGCTCTCGAGTAATTAGGGCCGCCTAAGGAGAGACTAGTGGAGACAAGATTTCGGCAGGAGAGAAACTACTGCCAGGAGTGCGACTGCCACTTTATCAGGAGAACAGAGTGTTCAAGGCCGAGCCCGGACAAGCAGCGACCATTCGCCGTCCACGAGGCAAAGGTCGTGCTGCGGCCCTTCCTGCAGCAACCTCGACCGTCGCCAGGGCACCGTTTCCGGCGGGTCTACGCTTTCG